TTGCGGTTTAAAGAAACATGTACATGACTACAATTTCTTAAATTATTTACAAAGGTTTGACATTATTGGTTTGATAGAAACTTGGAATGATGTTGAAAATGAATTTGCAAATATTTTGTATGGTTATACGTGTTTTGATAACATACGTTTAAAATCTTCTGGCTCTTTACGTAACAGTGGTGGTGTTTCCGTGTATATTAAATCGCACCTGATAAAAAACAATTTTATTTCACGTATATGCACCGACTTTAACGATTGTATAGTTTTATATATTACAAGTGCTTTGTATAGATCCATGCAAGATATTATTTTATACATTGTTTATGTTTCTCCAGAAGGATCAAATATTTATGACAAAAAGTCCGAAAAAAATGGAATTAAAACCATTCAAAGTAAAATTGAAATATTAAATAATATGTATCCAAATGTATATCTATACTTAGGTGGCGATTTCAATGCACGTACGAAGGATTTGTTAGATTATATTCCACATGACAATTTAGATGTTATATTTAATACAGAAGTTGATTATGATTCAGACTATTTCGAAATTTCTAGAAATAACAAAGATATTGAGAGATATAATTTATTTGGGAGATCTCTTGTAGAATTGTGTTGTATTCATAGTATCCATATTTTAAATGGTCGTTTGTACAATGATGTTGCAGGTAATTTTACTTGTTTAACTTTACAATGGAGCAAGTGTTGTTGACTATCACATTGTCTCGCCTGGTATTTTTTCTCATATAAGTTATTTTAAAGTTGAAGAACGTCACGTGTCAGGTCATTTACCAATTTGTGCAAGATTGACTTTAGAGCAAACATTTGTTAGATGTAACAAGAAAAATGAAACCTTTAATGGAATACATGTCGACAAATATAGATGGAATGATAGGCATATGGCGGATTTCTTACAATTATTTACCGCGGAGTATAATTCATTACGAGATAATTTACTTAATGAAATAGATCTAAGTATTAACAATGCAGTTAATCATATCATTAATAACAATACAGTTAATCATATCATTAATATTTATAAAAAAAAATCATCAGCAAATATGCGCGTTAGATATTTAGCGCGAAATAGTGTAAATAATAATCAACCCTGGTTGGATCGAGAATGTGAAACAACTAAGCAGCTTAAATACGCAGCTCTACGACGTTTTCGCTGGACTAATAACACATTAGACTTTCAACAATTTGTAGCGCTCCGAAAACGTTTTAAAAAAACTTGTTATATAAAAAAGTATCTTTACCAAAAGTCTAAGCGCGATCAACTAATTACGTTACGATCAAATCCCAAAGCCTTTTGGAAACTGTTAAAATCTAGAAATGGTAATATAAATGAACAATCTTCATTGATAGATACGGGAGCTTGGTTTGATTATTTTCATGAGTTATTATTTAAAAGTAACCAGCCTTACATATATAAAAGTAATTGGGACTTTAGAGTTAATCAAAAGTATAAACAAATTGAAATGTGGAAAATCACAGGGAAGTGATGGCATCGGAGCAGAATTCTATAAAAAAAAAACGTCATTAATCGCACATATCCTTTGTAAATTGTTTAATAAAATATTTAGTACTGGGGTTTTCCCAGACATTTGGAGGGATAGTATTATAGTACCCGTGTACAAGTCTGGGCCTCAGTATTACCCTTCTAATTATAGAGGAATTTCCTTAATCAATGTTATGTATAAGATATTTTCGAATATTATATATGATAGGTTATATAATTGGGCTGAGAAAGTTGATAAAATAGATGAATCCCAAGCCGGATTTCAAGCCGGTTACTGTACAATTGATAATATTTTTATAATACAAAGTATGGTACAGAAATATATTAGTAAACCGGGCGGACGATTTTATGTTTTTTATGTAGATTTTAAAAAAGCATTTGATGGACTTCAACATTTTAATTTATTCAATACTATAAACAGATGTGGCGTTAGGGGGAATTTATTTCGTGTTCTTTTATCAATGTACTCAAAACTGCGTGGATGTGTACAAGTTAGTACTACCAAAACTACAGACTATTTTAAATGTAACATAGGTACAAGACAAGGGGACATAACATGTACGATTATGTTTAATCTGTATATAAATGAGTTATCTCCCTTCCTGCGTAATAAGGGACATCGCGCTATATTTATTACGGATCAAATTCCCGATATTATATGCATTCTTTTCGCTGATGATGTTGCAAATTGCGCCGATACTGCGATCGAACTTCAGTCTCAATTAAATTCAATTTCAGATTTTTGTAATAATACCGGTATGTCTATAAATGATAATAAAACTGAAATTATTGTATTTAGAAATGGTGGACCGCTCAGATCATATGAAAAATGGTTATACAACGGCAGTTCAGTAAATGTCACCTCAATGTACAAATATATGGGTCTTTTATTTACAACTTAATTATCTTGGACAAAAGCAAAAACTAAACTTGCTGCACAAGGTAGGAAATCTATTTCAGCTATTAAATCATATCAAAGAAATTTTGGACAGTTTTTTACACTCTGATTATTTTAAATTATTTGACTCTATGGTAAAACCTATACTAACCTATGGTGCCGAAATCTATGGAAGTGAAATCTCCGAAAATCTTGAACAAGTTCAAATACAATATTGTAAAGATTTTCTAGGTGTAAATTATTCTGTTAATGACAATGTTGCACTGGGAGAATGTGGAAGGATGCCTTTATGTATTGATCATCATGTAAAAATTATCAAATATTGGTATAAACTTCTTTGTATGCCAGAACATAGATATCCTAGAAATTGTTATTTGATGTTAACTAGACAAGATAATGTTGGAAAGAAAAATTGGGCTACTTCAGTAAAAAACTTATTGTATACTTATGGGTTTGGCTTTGTATGGCTAAGTCAAGAAATTGGGGATATCAATCTATTTATTTGTCAATTTAAACAAAGAATTATTGATTGTAAAACACAAAATTGGATGGAAGAAATTCAGAATTCACCCCGATGTGACACCTATAAATTTTTCAAATCTATGTTAAATCCTGAAAAGTATTTATCTATTGATATGCCATTTTATGTAAAAAGATCATTATCGAGATTTAGATGTTCTAGTCATAAATTATATATAGAAACTGGACGACATTTGGGTATACCAAGATATGAGCGAATTTGCCAACACTGTTTGCAAAATTATAACAATTCGTTCATCGAAGATGAATTTCATGTATTTTTTATTTGTAATAGATTTTCCCAACAAAGACAACGTTATATATCTCCATGGTACAGTCATGATTATACATTCCATAATTTTTGTAATTTGATTAAAACTAAAAATGAAGAAAACATAAAGAATATTGCTTTTTTTGTTCATGAAATTATGAAAATTGTTGATAATTAATATCAATAGGAAAGCATGTCATATATAACAATGTATATTGTAGACACAGCTAAATATGTATTTCTGTTTTGATTATATTGTGTATTTTGGGCCGGAGGCCTTTATTTACAAAATAAAATGTTGATGTTGATGATGTTGATGTTAGCTTAGTGAATGTCGGTGGTTATACTCAGGTGCCGTTCGTGCCTGAAATAATGGTAGGGCACCTGAGGTCTTCTTCCAACGTCGCCATATGACCTATACTGTGTGGGTGTGACTTAAAACCCAATCAACTCTGAAGTTATAAACTGAAACTAATCTTGACAAAAATGGCTCTAAATTTGTAAAATGGATTTTCTATGAATTTGGAACTATTTATTATTATTTGAAGGGATTTCAATATTTAAAAGCCAACGGTAAAAATTGTGCAGCTGAAGGCATAGACGAGTTGTTCTTCTGTTAATGCATAAATAATGCAAAAAGGGGCATCTGAGGTCTTTCCTCTCCCATATATAAGCTGGAAAGTTGCCATATGACCTATGCCAGTATTGGTGCGATATACCAAATACCCCCCCCCCCAAAAAAAAAAAAATAAAAAATAAATAAATAAATAAATTAAATAAGAAATAAAAAAACCCTCGCATTCAAAGATGTAAAGTCCCCTGCTAGATAGGTATATAAATGTAAGACCACCAAGATTATATTATTGTATGTATGAATTGTATATCCTTTAAAGTTTCCTGCTTTTGGCATTGGCAAAAAAAAATTGGGGAATTTTTTTTTATCATGGGATAATGATAACTTTTTTGGTAAGGTGAATGGTGGCAAATTTTGTCTCCAAAATTTGTAAAATGAGCTTCCTGGTATTAATAAACTGATAAATCATTCGAATTTGAATAAAATTTGCTTCGTTTGTTTATATTGTTAGAGAAAGGTACATAATGTATTGTAAACAAACACTTGTGAGATATATAAATGCTAAAGTTGTTTAATTTGTAATGATTGTTTAATTTGCTGCAGGCATAACTTGTTTAATTCTCTGCAGGCACAACTTGTTTTTCTCTTCATGTAAATGTATATATCTGTATGTCAAAAACATAATTGATGATTTCACATTAAATTTTATATAAATGAAAGCTTAGATGAATAGAAGTAAACTTGAAAAACGTGTCTGATTGATTGATATATTTAAAAAATGAAAATAAGGCTGTTATTGATTATTTATTGCTGATGTTAGTTCTGTAGCAGTTTGCAAAGTACACATGTACTGTACAATTCTGGATTAAGCAACAAAATAAGTGATTTGCTTAATTCAAGGCCGTATATCAGTTTAACGATTCAGGTGGATTTTCAGGGTAATTGGGTCAAGGTCACTGAAGCTAAAAATAGATTTTATTACATTTCCTAGTACTAAGGCCATGCTTGTATTTAGCCATTTTTAAAAGCCATATTAAAGGATAATCAATCAATTTTAGAAGTGTCCACCATCAAATTTGGAGAAAATCATGATGAAAATTTGATGTTGGTCAGCCAACAGCATAGCACTAGGTTTGACGGCACATATTTGGCAAAGACTAGGTTCAGCAAGGTTGGGGATAATTTATATTGTATATTATATTGTTATTACTTACAGGTTGAAAACAGCAAGACCCATGTTGTGAAGGAAGCCATGAAAAACATAGAGCACTATTTGTTGAATACACCAGGCCCGTTAAAACTGGACTTCTTTAGTCAGACAAATTTTATTGGACTTTTTGTACAGGATGACTATTACAGATATCTGTCAGAGCTAGTCAAAATCTTTGCTAAAGATTGCAAGGCATATGGTAGGTTTTAATCTGTTACTTAACTACCTTAGGTGTTACCTAGCAACTGTAGGTGTTACCTAGCAACTGTAGGTGTTACCTAGCAACTGTAGGTGTTACCTAGCAACTGTAGGTGTTACCTAGCAACTGTAGGTGTAACCTAGCAACTGTAGGTGTTACCTAGCAACTGTAGGTGTTACCTAGCAACTGTAGGTGTAACCTAGCAACTGAAGATTTAACCTAGCAACTGTAGGTGTAACCTAGCAACTGAAGGTTTAACCTAGCAACTGTAGGTGTTACCTAGCAACTGTAGGTGTAACCTAGCAACTGTAGGTGTAACCTAGCAACTGTAGGTGTTACCTAGCAACTGTAGGTGTAACCTAGCAACTGTAGGTGTTACCTAGCAACTGTAGGTGTAACCTAGCAACTGTAGGTGTTACCTAGCAACTGTAGGTTTAACCTAGCAACTGTAGGTGTAACCTAGCAACTGTAGGTGTAACCTAGCAACTGTAGGTGTTACCTAGCAACTGTAGGTTTAACCTAGCAACTGTAGGTTTAACCTAGCAACTGTAGGTGTAACCTAGCAACTGTAGTTGTTACCTAGCAACTGTAGGTGTAACCTAGCAACTGTAGGTGTTACCTAGCAACTGTAGGTGTTACCTAGCAACTGTAGGTGTTACCTAGCAACTGTAGGTGTTACCTAGCAACTGTAGGTGTTACCTAGCAACTGTAGGTGTTACCTAGCAACTGTAGGTGTAACCTAGCAACTGTAGGTGTTACCTAGCAACTGTAGGTGTAACCTAGCAACTGTAGGTAAGTATTAAGTAATAATGTGTTTGACAAAAGATGTCATTGCTCTTTCTTAGTAGGAAAATTTATTATTACCTGAATCAAGTTCCAATTTAAATTGAATCAAAAATTAATGTTTTCGCATCACTAGGTATTGAAAGAGGGTACATAAAAAGGCTTTTGTATGAAATTGACACCATTGACAGCTACATGTGACACACAATTTGGACATATATCAGTCTGTACCCTTTTTAATAAGTTTAATGATTTTTCTTTAGCACTTCATATGATACCATACTGGTTGGTTCCAGGAAGTGGACTCGAAAGTGATTAAAGTTGCAAGAACTGATTTGGCAATCAAGCTTAAATAAATATGTTTAAACCAATCAGTATACAGATATTTCTAATGGATTCCGACAAACATTATTCGATGTCATATAGTCACTGCTTTGTTCCTTTATCTTAGTGTTTTCTCTACAATTTTTCTGGGTAACTGATATTTTATGGGAGCTAGTCTGCAAAGAGGACCTACACATTTGTTGACTGGCCTGTTTCAATACAGCAAATTTCAGAATTTTGAAATGTTAAATTTTGCTTAAGCCTGTGCTAGGGAGGTAACATGCATTTTCCAGTGCCTTCATGAACAGGCTCAATCAAACAGAGCCTATTACATTTTCAATTTTGTCGTTTTGGGCATTCTTTAGGAATTCCGTTTTTCTCTATGTTATGTAAATAATTTTTTCTCAGCAATTAAAATGAGTCTGTTATCATACAGGTATAGATGTAGAACCACCAAAGAAGCAGCTACATGTAACATTGGCATACCAGTATTCCGGGGAGCAGCATGATAAATTAACTAGTTTAGCTAAACAGATTGATCTCAGGGCAGAATGTGTGTGGGAACTCAGGGCATACTCTAGGGATCCAAGAATTGGGAAAAGTGAGGTAAGATCAGGGCAAATGTCTTGTGAAAACAAAAAGAATTGGAAAAGGTGTGGTAAGATCCGGGCAGAATGTGTGTGGGAACTTGGAGCTTACAAAAGGGATCCTAGAACTGGGAAAAGTGAGGTTAGATCAAGGCAGATTGTATGTGGGAACTCAGGGCTTACTCTAGAGATCCTAGAATTGGGAAAAGTGAGATAAGATCAGAGCAGAATTGTGTGTGGGAACTTGGGGCTTACTCTAGAGATCCTAGAATTGGGAAAAGTGAGGTAAGATCAAGGCAGAATTGTGTGTGGGAACTTGGGGTGTACTCTAGGGATCCTAGAATTGGCAAAAGTGAGGTAAGATCAGGGCAGAATTGTGATTGGGAACTTTGGGCATACTCTAGGGATCCTAGAAATGGGAAAAGTTAAGTAAGATCAGGGCAGAATTGTGATTGGGAACTTTGGGCATACTCTAGGCATTGTAGAATTTGGAAAAGTGAGGTAAGTGTTGTGGAGCAGTAATTTGGTTTGTTATAATAACAAAAATACTGAGAAAATGTGAGTCTTATGAAAAGTTCCTAAAATGTTTTTAGTTAACTGTAGAAATTCTAGAACAGTGATAAATTGTAAATTTTTACATTTTCATTTATGAATCTTGTTTATTGTGACCTTGTGCTATCCATGAATAGGCTGAGACAAGTACATCCTGCAACAATTCTAAATTTGACATTATGGGAGTTCTTAAAGGAACTCCTGGTGACTGAGGTCCAAAAGCCTACAAACACAAAAATTCCAAACCTTTCTTAGATCAATTGGGGCACTTAAAATAGAAATATGCAAACGATAATTTAAAACTATACTGAGAAATAAATTGAAAAACATATTTTTGTGCTACTTTTATCCCATTTGAGTGAAAGCATTGCAATGCTTTTCAGTGTTGGTCATTTTTCACAATAAGAATAATTATTCTGGAAAAACAGAGAGGGCAAATAATCAGAAATTTTGCACACAAGTTATTGTTCTAGACCTAAATGGAAGACTTATTCAAAAATTATCTCCAGTCCTGTCATGTCAAAAACTTCAGTGGAGTCCTTGTAAAGGAATCCATTTTCTCTATTTTCCTGTTGAAATCTTATATAAACTAAGATAAATATTCAAATTTCTAGGTAAGGAAAGTGAAGCAGGCTTACAAAGGTTCTCTTGAGGATGAGTTAGACTTGATAATGGGAGACTACGTGTTCATGGATATGAATGAGAGCACTAGAAGTACAGATAAATGGTATAACGGAACATCCTGGCTTACTGGACAACAAGGAATGTTCCCTGGACCATTCACAGAGAGGACGGCTGAAACTTGGACATGGGCACTACATGAGTAAGTCAATGTAACTCTTAACCTGTTGGCTGCCAGGGAATCTACCTATGTGCTGACCAAGATCAAACAACACCTGTGTGCCATGTGACCAATATCTGTACTAGCCTCTTTCCAGTCAGTAGATATTTTAAAATTTTCCCAAAAAATATGAATTACCGCGGATTTGAAGCAATTTTTTACATAGGTCCAATTCGCTTTTCGTATTTTCTGATAAACGTAAAACTGAAGGACTATCGTGCAATATGTGTGCCAATTACAAGGTATTCATGGAAATGTAAATTATATAAATGACAACATTGATCAGCAAGAGTTCTACTTTTTGGTGACATGTAGAGCAAGTTGTTCATTATACTCATATTATAACAAAAAGTGACTCATGGCTTATGATGAAATTTTATTCGATAAATTAAGTTTTGATAATATATTTTAGATCACATTTAATGGGAACAAATGAAGAGGAAGGAGCGGCAGCAGCCCCACTGACTAACGGGGTACGGCCACCACCATGTACAGGTGGTCAGGAGGAATATGAGGCCCTCTGGAAAAATCCCGATGACCTCTATGCAAAGGTTTATATTTTGATGTTTTTAAAGTGGATTGTTTGACAGTAGCACATTTTCCATAAGTGTGTCAATATTGGCAAAACAATAGAAATGTATATTTAAAAAACAATAGATATGTATATATCATTCAGGTATTCTCAAGAAATATTTCTTGGAGAAGAAAAACGTTGATACTTTTCTTGGATTTATTATGAACATTAATATGATAAGTAAAAATATTTTGTTTTAGAACATAATATTATCTGCTTTATATAGATAAGTGCAGTGATTTTCCTGCTTATATAAACAACTCCGATAAAAGGCCTCTTTCCAATTGAAATTTTCTTTAAAATCATGCTTTTTCCCAAAAATCTTAACTAAGTGATAATTTTTCCCAAAATCAAGAGGCTTCGGCCTCTTCCCAATTAAGTGAGAAAAACCACTGAAGTAATATTGGTTCATGTTTTTGATAATTACTTTAGTGACACATACTATGAACTAATAATATAATTATCTATTATGGACAAATTCACTTAAATCCCCATAATCATTAATGTAGTACACCCCTAATGGGCACCATAAGGAACTGTAAAATTGACAACATAGGACAGTTGTATGCCTTAAATGTCACCTGTATGCAAAAGTTAAATAAAATTTACCGTGTGGTTTATGAGTTATGGACATTTTTCTGAACAAGGGCTTTTGTTCAGAAATGAGGAAATTGTAAATAATCTATATTATCATCATGAAAAATGTTTTCCTATTGCTCATTGTAAAGAAACAAAAAATCGACATTTAGGTACCAAATTAAACTAGCAAAGTGATTGTTTTTAAACGAAATGTTTTTAATATGTATATAAATGTGACCCTACCCCACCCACTTTTAACACTTATGTGACCATTTCCATGTGTAAAAAGCCTTTTTTAAGCTATTCCTAAAGTTTATTTGACCATTTCCATATGTAAAAAGCCTTTTTAAGCTATTCCTAAAGTTTTCCACAATGAGGGGCTGTTTTCAAAAATTTTCCTAAATTTTCTTAAATGTATATTGGTTGGTCTTGCAAAATATAAAATACTTTTACCGTGTAGTTTTTATTCTATAAAACTTTCAAAATATCTGGTATCATATTTTGCTATTAAATTTGGCATTATTTAGTAAATAAATACCTACAAAAAATTATATAATTAAATGAAACAGTTTTATTCTTCCGTTAGGGATCTGAGAGATTAATAAAAAAAATGTGAGAAAGTATAAAAGAAAGAAAAAAAATGTCCCTTCTGAGGTTTGAACCCACACCCCTCAATTTCTATACACTTTACAGTGATTCTAGCCTATTTGAATACTCTTCAAAGTGGAGATAGTGCATTAGGGGTGTACTACCTTAAATGAGAGATTTGATGTATGTGAAGTGCAGACAACTTTAACAATATAACAGTTTTAAATCAACTATTCTAAGAAAAGGAAGAGCTATTACACTCACCTAGAACGGCCTCCGGAATAAGTTTGCAAATCCGGAATTTTCGCAAACTCAACTACCCTTTTTAACATAGTTTCAATACAAAAAGTTAAATCAAACAGTAATTTGGATAAAAATTAACGATTATTGACCGTTTACACAAAGACAGCGCAATAATTAAACCCTGGGTGAGCGTTCAAAGTGTGACCTCCCATGGGGTTTTTCAGTTCTCCCACGGGTTTTTATGTATCCCACTGAGACTTTAGTTGGGTTTAAACCCCATTTCTTATAGTGGGAGAATAAAACCGTGGGAGGAAAAAGAATTTTTTTTCTTAAAATTTTTACATGTGTTGAATATATAATACTTATAATAAACTTATTAGTATTCGAGGAATATATTTAAAGAATTTTGCAATTCTCCCATTGGCTGAACTTACCCATTTAGTAAATGGGAGAAATCTCCCAAAATTAAAATGGTGCGGAAACCTCCCAAAATTAAAATGGGAGAAATCTCCCATGATGGCTAACTTGGAGAAATACCCCATTAGAGCATTATGGGAGAATTCAGCTATATCTTTTTTTGTTTTACATATTGGATCGGAAGTTTAACAGTAAAAGTTTGTCTACATGTTAATATTCTGTTCCGACCTTTTTAAAATGAAATAGGGCCGGTCCAATTAGTTATTTATTTATTTACTCAATTAATTAATTATTAATTTATTTATTAGTTAATTAATTAATTCTAAATAAATAAATAAATTCATTCATTCATTTATTCATTCATTCATTCATTCATTCATTTATTCATTCATGCATTCATTCATTCATTCATTCATTCATTCAATTAATTATAAATACATGTATATAAATAAATAGAAAAATAAATAATTAATTTAATATATTGATAAATCAATATATATTAATAAACTAATAAATTAATACACTTATTAATTAATTAAATAAAGAAATAAATAAATTAATTAATTAATAAATTAATAGATTGATAAATTGATGAATTAATAAATAAATAAATTATTTTTTTTAATAAATTGATTAAATAGATAAATTAATTAATTGGTTTATGAATTAATTCAGTCATTAATGTTACAAATGTCCCGTTAGTCTCATATTGAATTTAATAATATCTGAAATATTATGATTTTGCTTGGATTATTAGTCCCCTACCGGTTTACCGGAGGGGACTTTAGGTTAACCCTCCGTCCGTCTGTCCGTCCGTCCGTCCGTCAGTCCGTCCGTCCACAAAACTGAATCCCGCGATAACGCAAAAAGCACTGAAAATATTCTTATGAAACTTGATATATGGATAGATGGCAGTATGGAGATTATGCACGTCTTTTTCTTTTCTTCCTATGTTGAAAATTCTGGTTGCTATGGTAACAAATAGACTGAAAATATGGCAAATTTTACACATAACCTGGATCCTGCGATAACGCAAAAGTACGGAAAATACTTTTATGAAACTTGACATATGGGTAGGTGGCAGTCTGGAAATTATGCACATCCTTTTCTTATCTTCCTTTGTTGAAAATTCTGGTTGCTATGGCAACAAAGAGACTCAGAATTTCAAGATTTCTGATTATAGTTTTTAAGTTTTTTTCACTATAAGTTCTTTATTTCTTAAGGTATTTTCTTCAAACTTTAAATATAAGTTGCTAGCCATCAACCACATCATATGTGACAAGGTTTACAACTCTAGCACAAAATTTATCAGAATTACCTCCCTTGTACTTAAAATTTTCATGAGAAAAATATTGTCGTTTTAATAACTTCTTTTTTTCTGAATGTATCTACTTCAAACTTCATATATGGGGTTTTAACCGGTAGGGGACTTATGGATTGCTTGCAATACTATGATAATTGCTTGTTACCTTAAGTTTCATAAACATTAATAGCGACTGTTTTTCTTTAATCATATAAATATATAAATGTATATTTCTTTCCATTAATTTATAGTATTTGTACTGTGTAGTCAGTTATTATTTATAGTAGGATATAATTTTATGATTAGTATGATATTTTATCGTGTAATCATAAATGTTTTACTAGTCTCTTATAATTCAATGATCGAATGGTCATGTACTTTACTGTGTTTTATGTTTGCTTATGAATTGTACTTGTGTATGTGCATGAATGAGACTTAAATAAATAAATATTATTATACATTGTAGAAATACTCAAACATTTTTTTAAACAGTATGACAGTCACCTGTACATTAAATTCGGCGGTGTGTGGTCAGTGCAGATCTATTTACCAATGAGATCAATTAACTTTTACAACCCTTCATGATTAGACTTTTTCTTAACAGCATAATTATATAAGACACACACACACAAAAAAAAGAAAAGAAAAACACGGTTTAAAAAAACTAATAAAAAATAAAAAAGAAGAAAAAATGGATGTTGATCATTTGAAAATGAATAGTTCATATATAATAATGTAAGTTAACAAATTATATATACATGTACGCCGTAAATTGCATAGTTTGTAACAGAAATTAGAGCGTTTAGGGTGTTTTTCGTCTGTTTCATTGATCTCTGTCTTTCTTTGTTTACAATTCAGTTGAATAATTGAACGGCTATTTGTGTTAAAAACGGCGTATTTGAAAATCGTGTAGGCACATTCATTTAGAGCACTTAAGTATCAAAACCATTTTTTTTTGGATATGTATAACTTGTACAACACGCCAAATGAAACATAACAGCATATATTTTGATGTATTTGCGAGGAAAAGAAATACAGATAAGTATAACTGACATGAAGGTTAACAAAGTTAGGTAGGGATATTCCTACGTCATCAATTAAAATGGCAAAAGAAATTACCGATTATTTATTTATTTATTTATCTTTTTATTTATCTATTTTTTTATCTATTTATTTATTTATCAATAAGTTAATTAATTAATTCTATATGAATGAATGAATGAATAAATGAATGATTAAATAAATAAATAAATAAATTCATATAATTAATTATAAATATATAAATAGATAAAAAAAATAATTAAATGAATAATTTAATAACTCAATAAATTAATAAACTTATAAATAATTAAACTTATAAAAAAATTTAAAAATTTAATCAATTGATAAATTAATAAATAAATAATCTAATAAATTAATAAATTGATTAGATAAATAAATTAATAAATTTATAAATTCACAAATTAATTCATTCGTTAATGTAACAAATGTCCAATTAGTCTGATATTGAACTAGAATAGATCTGAAATATTATGATTTCGATTGGATGATTACCTTAAGTTTCACTTCCAGTATAACAGTCACCTGTACATTAAATTTAGGCGGGGTGTGGTCAGTGCAGTTCTAATAACCAATGAAAACAAAGGAATTATCTTTCGGATAATAACTCAATTGATTGGATAGCAACATAAATGACTGGCAGGTCTGATTGCCCCCTAAAAAAATGTTGACACCACTTGAACATGTGAAAAACATAACCATCGAAGGTCATAAATTACATATTATATTACACATCCTTTTGTTCACAGAGCTCAATTAAGTTTTATTACCCTTCATGATAGGGCTTTTTCATAACAGCATGATTATATAAAGGACACAAACACACACACACAAAGGAAAAAACGAATAAAAACACGGTTTTAAAGAATGATAAAAAATAAAGAAATAAGAAATTGATCATTTGAAAATTAATAGTTCATACATGTACGCCGTAAATTACATAGTTTGTAACAGAAATTAGAGCGTTTAGGATGTTTTTTAGTTACAAGTAGGCGTCTGAGCCACACTTTTGAAAAAAAAGTTTTTGTGTGCAAGTAGTTATCTACATAACTTATGAAGGAAATGGGTTGAAACTTCACACACTTATTTGAGAGCATAATAGGAGGTCACTTTCTAATGTCCGTAACTCTAACATAGATTTTGACAGAATTGTGGCCCTTTTTGAACTAAAGAATGCTATTAATACTTGGCAATTCAGAAGGCAAAATCTCATTGATATTTGTATTATAGGTGAACAAGCCACACAAAGAAAAAAGAGGGCTATTAATAGATCACCCAATCCCAGAGAAAAGAGAACCTGTGGTAGAGAAGAAACCACCTGTAGTAGAGAAGAAAGAACTAGGTCCACGTCAGTTATATGTGATACGTCATGCAGAGAGAATGGACTTCCTGTTTGGGAGAAGTTATTGTGACACAATATTCGATGATGCAGGTATGCGTTTTCTGAATGATTTTGTTATTATTATCTCATAATCTGAAAATGATAACTGCTTTTGTTTTTTACTCCCTCCAATATAATTATAAATTCTAACACTATCGAAAAATTTTTCTACATAAACAAAGAAGGCCGGAAGCGTGCATTATTCTACAACAATGCACTCGCCGTTCTTATTACCTCCCTGTGTATTTTCAAACCGACACATTGACAGCGCCATTTTGTTTGAAAAAATCTGATAAATATAAAAAAAAAATTGAATTTTGTTGTCAAAACTATCTAGAATGAAAGAAAATGGTCTAACTAAGAAAATGAATCCGAACACCAATATCTTCAATTCAGCCGTTAACGCTGAACAGACGTTTAAAGTGTTGTTTACATGACATCACAATGTAGCGCCAAACAGCACGTGTAAAAACAATCAAATCAAGAACGTTATTTCAATGTCGCAAACGAGTTAAATTTCACATTTATTTCACTATTAATACTTTATATTGAAAAATATAGAGTGAAATAAAAATAAACAAACAAAGTTTTATCAACTTTTTAAAATTTGTTGTTCTCAAAATGTTTCTACACACGGTAGACTTAACAACAGTTTTTTTCAACCCACTGGAACAGCCTTTAAAGAACGTTTCTATTGGAAACTTTGAGGCGAAAACAAATTTAACCACCAAAAATAAAGTCCAACTATATAATAATTATCATATTTTTTCTTGGCGTGTTAGAATGGAAATAGATATTAATTCTAGAGTGCATTATTGTATAATAATGCACGTTTTTCGTTCAATTGCTTGTTATAAATCACTCAGGCCTCTTGGCCTTGGCGATTATATAACTACACATTTGAACTCAAATCGTGCATTATTCTACAACAATGCACTCAGAATTGATATCTATTTCCTAAATAGATATCAATTTTAGGTCAATTGTTGTAGATTAATGCACGGTTTGAGTTCAAATCTGTAGGATAGGCCTTATAGACATTTAGCATAGGTGTTATTTTCAAGGCGTCATTTGGTTTCTTAACACATATTTGACGTCATATGATGCGTAAGCATTCCTTTTATATGCTGTGCATATATTTTGTTATAATGCACTTGAATTTCCAATCTTTTTGATTGGGTTATATTATGAAGCATGTTAGAATATGTCTTGGACAAATTTTCCATATGTAGAATGTTGTGATAAAGACTAAAACAGAATAGCACTGTCATAATTTAAATCTAGATTTGTTTATAAATAAGATAGAATTCCGGATAACTAAAACATATACATTAATTGAAATGGATCTGTTATTTTTTCCTCATGTCTATGTTGATATACATATATATAAAAACAAGAAAAGATCTAAATTAAAATCTAAGTAGTTTGAAATATTTTTTTTTGGCAAGTTTTGTGGGAATTTTTTCTTTTTTTTTTTCAAGCATTTTTTAGAAAATTTATTTGATTACTACTGTAACACCGGGGGATCTGATTTTAAACCCCCACTAACGTCAGAACATGTTTTGTTATATACCCATATTTTTTCCTTAAAAAAAAAGTGTTGTTTAAGTTGAAAAAATTTTTAAATGACTAAAAAAAATATTTTAAACCAAAAACTGTATACATTTTAATTTTCGGGAAATTATACCCGTGGATTTAAAATCCAAAACGATACAAAAACGACGTCTAATCAGTGGACTATGCAAAGTGCCCCTGCACTGGGAATTCCCGGGCATATTTACAAGTTTTTGAAAAATTAAACCTCAAGTTCCAATTTTTTTTTTTTTTTTTCCGGGGGGGGTTTAACCCTTGTGCTTTATTTAGGTAAAATGGGCACCTGAGTAGTTACACTGACATTCCATAAGCTAATTGGTTAGCTTTCTCACATGAAAGAATTCAAAAACGCTAGCAAGGCTCGCATCTACAGCGGTGAAAGGCAAGTGGTTGGGAGTGAACAAACTTAACCACTCAGCCACGGACACTCTTAAAAGTTTTTGTATAGATTAGATTGATTGAGTTAGTTAGCTTTTTGACACAATAATGGATCATTATATTAAACCCGTAACCAGGTGGATTTTTTAATGAATATTTCCTTGCTTTAAATTAGAACTGTCCATTAAAAGTTGTTGGTATTTTGATATAAAAAATTCAGGTGCCAACAATGATAAACCCTGGTCAGACAGCAGGGATATGCCGTCCTGTCAGCTAAATAGGTTGAGCGTTTGACTGTGAATAAGGTGACCTAAGTTTAATTCCGGAAGTGCAGTTCACTTTTGTTGTGATTCATCATGAAATCCTTTCTGCAGTCATTCGCTCTGTACCTCTGCCCTTGCAGGTACGGAAATTATGGGTTCCTTGTGGAAATAAAGGCAACTAGTACTGGTAAACTGCTTAACAGTCTGCCTGGAACGTTGCGGTGGTGAAATTGTACTCTGGTTAATTCAATGTGGCTAACTGCCGTGATAGGAGTAAAAACTACCAACACCACCACCAGGTTAACGATTAAATAGGCCTTGCAGAATTTTAATCAAATTAAACCCACCAAAGATTCAAACTATTTATTACTTGTTTTATTTGTTTCCTGTGACAGGTGAAGCTTTAAAGACAAAGGGTGTAGTATTTCATCATGTCTATGCCTCCCCATCATTTAGATGTGTACAAACAGTCACTGAGATTCTAAGAAGTGAGTATTAATACATCTACTGCCATATGAACACACCTGCAGATGTTTCTAAATTCAAAATTTCATCAAATTCACATTTAAATGGTGAATTCTGCTTAAACTGGTACTATGTGGCATGCACTTTCGTTTGCACTTAACAGTACCATTCATAAACAGGTTCAATCAAACTGAGCCTGCAACATTGAACATGAACAGGCTCAATCAAACTGAGCGTGAAACATTTTAATTTTTCCATTTTTTGGGCTTTCGTTGGGTTCCCTTGTTTTTATTTTTCCTTAATACTGTTTATTATATTCTTTTTATTTCACCCTTGTATTTCCTAAACCATACCTTTATCTAAAATTACTGAAAACTTTTATCAAATGGGGTTTGTGTAATTAATTAAAAATTAAAATTAAAAAAATTTTCACAACAAAACTCGTTTGAATGTGGAAAAAGGGTTTTTAGTTAAAAAGCAAAATTTGATATCTCTAAAGGTATGGGACAACAAAATATTCCTATAAGAGTGGAACCAGGCATATTTGAATGGCTGGGCTGGTACCAGTTAGGATTACCTAGGTTTTTCACACCAACAGAATTGAAAGGACATGGGTATAACGTGGACGTTAACTATCAACCTGTTATCACAACAGCCAAGTTTGACATGGAGGAGGATATTCAAGATTATTATAAACGATCGGGAGAAACTTCGAAAAGAATACTCGCCAAACATCAACATGAAGGTAGTGATGTATCATACATTATTCTTTAATTACAATCTGTTCATTTGAGTTATTTAAATTGGTGAAAACCAAAAAAATACAGTTTCTTTACGTTTAGTTCAGGACTAGCAAAATCTGGTTTTGACTTACTTGTCCAATGTTACCTAAATCATATATTTACTTTGCTGTATGATATCTATTGAATATGTATGTTGATTTTTCAGGTGGAAATGTATTAATGTTGGGACATGCAGGCTCAGTGGAGGTCTGTGTTAGACAACTTGTTGGCAAGAGTCCAAGAAGTACGCAAGATTTTCGCGAAATTTGCCCAAAAGTTCCGTACTGTGGACTTATAGTTTGTCAGGAAGACCCACAAACGAGAAAATGGTCGGTGATAGACACTCCTATATTACCGTTTACGCATGGACAGAATAAAAAAGTCGTAGTGAAAGAACTTCTCTATCCTTCCTAGTTATAACTACAGTGCTTTCATTGTTGTTACCGAAAACCTTTTTTAGCTGTTACAAAGAAAAACTTTGATCTATTATGATCGCTATGTCGTCGCTGTTGATATCATGAAAAGCTGTAATGTTGCCTATTATTCAAATATTTTAAATGGTATCAACAGGATTAGCCTGTCTCTTTTAAGAAAAAAGGCAAGCAAATATAGTCCATGTGTCGCCCTTTTCGTCCTGCAAAAACTTTGTTGTAGCCCATTTCTTACACAATTTTAAAGGTATCAACATGAAACTGAATATTTAATAATCATGATATCTAGAAGTAGTTGTTATGACCTAGAATATTTATGAAAATTTGTTATTACGGTAACTGACAAGACTTAACACTGCTTGCAGTGCACTTGTTAAAGGATTTTAGCTGAAGTTTGATTTCATATGCAATTTTTCACTGCTTTATATATAAATGTAAAATTTAATGTAGATGCAAAAGAAGAAAAACGTGGGTGATATACTTCTTGCTCCCTGTCTCAGCAAGTTAAGTCTACTGTGGAAATTGTTTGTTTAGGGTAAAGATATTTCTATATTTATACTGGACCTCTGTACTATGGACACATCTCTGTTACTTATGTATTCCGAATATTTTATAAAGTGTGCTGTCATGCATATGTTGAACTTGAACAGTTCTGACCCAGTTTAGCAAAAAAAAATGCAATGTTAACATTAAAATATAAATTTAAAAGTACATTACTACATTATGTAAGTAAAGTACATTATTGAAATTTTAAAGCAGACAAATAGGAAACAAAAAGAGTGTTGATATTTGGGGTTACGTACTACATATATCTAGTTACATAGTTAGGGTTTGATGCAAAAAAGTCCTATCTCTTATGACATAAAAGGAGGAGTTACAATCATTTTGCACCAAACCTTGAATTATGTTAAAAAGGCCAGGGAGCTGTAATTTTCAGCTACCCCTGTACAACATGGTGGAGATTTTTTGCAGTTGTGCCCTCATCATTTTTGAAATTAGTAAAAGCTTTGATGTTGCTTAACTTTTTTGTGAAAGTTTATTTTCAAACACAGCTTATTTACAATCATTTCCTTACAATATATATATAGTTTTGCCTTCATTTTTGATGATTTTTTAAAAGGTTTTTGATCTGACTATGTTTTACAGTGATTTATGTTTGGTGCTTATAAGCATAATACGAGTAGTAGAATACATGTTTTATTAGATGTTACATAATATATAATATCTAGATCTTTGTTGTTGAAGTATTATCATCAGTACACATTTAAGTTAAATATAGAACTTTAAACCTTAAAGCTGCAAAGCTCCAGTTTCTTGCAAAATTTATTAAAATTTAAGGAGTGTTTTTAAGTAGCAAAAATATTGTCTGGTGAACAAAATAGTAATATAATTATATAAGGCTTTGAAAAATCCTCAAATTACTTGATATCTTAAAAAATAGCACTTTTCCCATAGCAACAGTTTAGAGATAATTCAAGCAAATTTTGCTGAAAGCATGCAAAGTGTTACATTAGTTAAGAATAAATATATTTATATATTTCTTAAACTCACTATACTATAATGTATTCTTTGCTCCTCTTAGTTCAAAGTACTTAACGCTTTGAAACAAGAAAGAAAACAAACTATAAACTTATGATGCAAAAAATGTCATAAGCTGTAAAATTTAGGTATATTCTGCTTTATGACACAAGGAAATAACATATTTAATCAAAATCAGATTTAATAGTCAAGAGGTAGATCATAGGTCGGCTATTTTGAAAACAGAATGTCATCATTTAAATCACAATAAATGGTGTTTCACATAAGTTTTTTCATGTTTCAGATAAAATTACTTAATGTGAAATTGTTCAATTGGATATGCTCGTCTGGAGGTTTGCAGCTTTAATGTTGAGAGATATTTATGTAAAAATATACAACTTTATAATTTTAGCATCACTATCATGGCACAGCATCTTTTTATAAAGCATACATCAAACATGACCATTGGCTTTTAATGGCTTGTTCATTGTTTCCAGTTTGAAATGTGTGATATGTTTTGGTCATCTACATTCCATTATGTTACTTGCTGTTTGATTGTTTAACTCTTACCACACTATTAAAATATTTTAAATGAACTTGTCCATCTCTCAGTCTGGACAAAACCATTGATTATTTTATTATGGAAAATTTCAAAATATTTACTGGCTGTATGGCAAACAGTGTAGACGGTGAGTAGAAGGCTCGGATGAGCTGGCTGATCTTGGTGTGCACAGGTTGCATTGGTCGAACCTCATGCAGCTGACTGGCTACTAGTGAATGTTTAAGTCCCAACAGGATGTTAAAGACATGTTGACAAGACTATGATTTGATACAATATGACCAATGGACAAGAGTGAGTTTTAAAGAACACGCTGGTTGATGGACAAAAGTGAGTTTTCAAGAGCTTGCTTGTCTTATGGACTGCTCTTGTTGGTTTTACCATTGCTTGTAAAGGATAATACATTATCATTTTTACTGTGGTCAATGTCACTAATTTTGGTAAACCTTTTGTGCAAACATGACCTGACATTTTTGTTCAGAAATTTTTTTGAACAATCCTTTTTTACACTTAGATTTTTTTTTTTCATTTTGATATAAAAACTTTGTTTTATGATTATTTTGTATTTTGTAAATTCTTGCTTGACCCAAATGTGGCCTTTGCTCTCTGCCCATTTATTGTGTTCACTTTGTCTAATAGTATGCAAATTATGTATGTTAATTGGATTGTTGATGTTGGTCTTGAATTGTTTTTCAAAAGAAACGCAAAATATTGAACAAATTTATGACTGATCTTGAAATGTGAAGTACATGTATCTATCATATTTTATGATCGGTATTATTCAATGTTTATTTGGAGGAAATAAGATTTACAAATGTTGCAAGAAAAAAGGAGTAAGAAATTGAGCTCAGAAAATGTTTAAATAAATGTCCGAAGAAGAAAATCCTCATAACCTTTCATCAATATAGTTTGATCAAATGCTCATGAAATTTTGTTAAAGCATTGTTGATGTGTACTTAATTACCATAACTATAAATTACAGATATTTTGATGCACATTTAGAATAATTATTGTAAAACACATTTTAGTAATAATAGTGTCTACCCATAAGCCATAATGGCTTTTCAGACCTTTAATTTATGTATTAGGCACTATATGTCACACAGCATGTTTCTGTTTCTGGTGTCAAAAAGTTTGGGCATACATGCCAAATGGACACAATTGATAACATTTTGTAGATTTTGTTTTTGCAAAAGAACAAGTTAATGCTCAAATATTTTTTCTTGTGATATTTTTTATATTAAGAAGTCTTATTTAATATAATTATATACAATATATGTATATTTCTAACCGATTGTTAGTTGATTTAGCTTTATAGATAGACTTTAGGTATTTTAGCTTTATGTTATTGGGTAAATTTACATATGCATGCAAATGGGATGCACATGTGAAGTGAAACCCATGCTGAATTGGTATTTTAGTTGACAAATAGAGGATATTGAATGAGTGTAGATTTAATTCATTTATTTACAAAAAAGTTATTACACATGAGGTGCCCAAAAGCATTTTTTACAAAAAGTTATTACACATGAAGTGCCCAAGAGCAAATTTACAAAATCTCATTACACATCAAGTGCCCAAGAGCAAATTGACGGTAAGTTATTGCACATTAAGTGTCCAAGAGCATATTTACAAACAGATATAACACGTGAAGTGCCCAAAAGCATTTTTACAAAAGTTATTATTTTACACATGAAGTGCCCAAGAGCATTTATTACACATGAAGTGTCCAAGAGCACATTAACAAAGAGTTATTGGTACATGAAGTGCCCAAGAGCATACATACATATGCATTTAAAAAAGTTATTACAAAATAACATAGATGAAGATTTTATGTAGATAACTTACACTAGTATGATTATTTTGTGTTATATACATTTAAGTTTTATATATTCTAGACTTAATTATTAGCCCTATTTATGTATTTAACATAGTTAACTTAAACCATTCCATAATGGCAACACAGCTCACAGTGATATATGTTAGTTAAACATTTCATTTTCTAGGTGATAAAACAACAAAAAAAAATGTTTTGGGGTTTTTTGTTTTTTTTTTTTTCTTAATTTTGCCGGTACAAGATAAGCATGTTAACAATTTTGATATTTTCTTACTATGTATATATATAAAGATGTAAAGATGTTTAAATATATCCAGTTATAGATTTTTTTGTACAGTTATTATAAATGGTAACAAATTTTGCAACATCTGCAAAATATTTCATGTATAATATATTATTATTCAGATATAATCAGTAAGTGAAATTACATGTATTTTACACTTTCTAAAAATAGTAACAAAGTACAGGGCAAGATCCTGAATCGATCTGATTAATATTAATTTAATGTTAGCCATTATGTATAGAGTTATAAAGACTTTTTAGTAGTATGTTGCCCAGTAGAAAACTGTTATAAGCTAATAAAAGCAAAAGATTGAATATTCTGTGAGAGTGGAAGTGATGAAAAAATGTTAAACCAAAATGCCATCTTTTCTACTTGCAGTGCAACCCAAATAGATATCCTTACAAGGTCACAAATTATAGTGAACATTGGATGTGGTCAGACTGTATTTTTGTTGTTCAGGCTTTATTGACTTTAAACTGATCTTATACTCAATTTCATTATCGATAAAATGCGTGTTTTTGTATTATACATTTTTTCGCTCACACATTTTATAGCATATAAATTAACTATAGCATATTCATAAAGACAGGGCTGCTGGCAGCCTTCATTTACCTTGTATTCATGCATTTATGATATGTTGAATATATTTGTAGACACTCTTTTAAGCGTTTTATTTGTAAAGTTCTATGTTTTTCTTTAGCCCACCTTTTGTTCTGCTAAAATCATGTAATGGAATTGTCCTGCTTTGAGTTTGGAAGTGTCCATTAATTATTTTTAGGGATTTTGATATTGACATCCTCAAAAAAGCAGCAGGTACTTTATGATATGTTAAATATGTGTGGTTGACCTTTCCATCCTTTTATTTGTAAAGTTCTTGTCCTTGTTAACACCCTTCTTGTTCTGCTAAAATCATATAATGGACTTGACCTGCTTTGAATTTGGAACTGTCCATTATTAATTTTAGGGATTTTGTTACTGAAATCCTTTACTTTAGCAGCAGACATAACATTGTCGGATACCCACATTCAAATTTAAACCATTAACATTTAACAACTGTGGCGGTGTGTCAAAGACAGCTATTTCATTGGTTGCCTCTTGACTTCATGAGGCGATTAAAATCAATCAAAACACTTGTTCTATACGACATTAGGTATTACAAACCAAATTACGGCAACCAATTACATTCAAGAGTGAAAAGTTCAATATTTAATAAGCCTAGAAAATGTACTGTTTATTACTGATAGTGTTTACCTCCCCCGTTGAAGATTATAAATTTTTTGTTGAACTGGATTTCATTGGTTGATATTGCTTTATATCAATGCAAATCGATTAATTTTACCATCCGCTTGATTACATGTTAATTAATCAACTTTGGATATTCGACGAAGCTGACAGTACAGATTGTGGTCAGATTGCAAAAGATGCAGAGTATCATTTCATATAGGCTAGTCTGACCTGGTTCTGTACTGCTGGCAAAAGTCTGTTATCATCAGCACTTGCTTTCAAACATTTTAAAATGTTGTTAAAACTGATTGCCTGTGTGTCAGTTAAGGTTACTGCTATTAAATAAACATTTAATGAAGTTATGCACATAGGAAATTAAATACTTTATTAAGGAAATCTACTGAGGTCCGAGAGACTAAAACATGAAATTTGAATTTCTTAAATAGATCAATGGGGACACTTAAAACAGAAAGATATACAAAATATATTTAAGTAATATACTCAGAATAAATTGAAAATCATATTTGTTGTGCTATTTTAGCCCAATTTTGTATTATTTTTCACAATAAGAATACTCATTCTGGCAAAACAGAGTGAGCTAATGATACGAACTTTTGCACACTGATTATTTGTCTAGACCTATATCAAAAGGAACATTAATCTCGAAAAATTATTTCCGTCCCGTCTTGTCAAAAAACCTCAGTGGAGTCCCTTTAAATGATATAAATAAAAAATTTATTTAGACATATTTCAAGGGAAGCATAGTATAGTCAGTAAAGTTACCTATAGATATATTTGTTTAGCTTATTGTTTATTTGTTTGGTAGAAATTTATGTAATTGGTTAGTACAGGTTTATTATGATTGTTAACATCTCTTACAAGATTTGTAACCTAAGTTTTATGTCTTCCCAGTTATAGAATTATTTTTCCCCTTGTCTCTCTATATGTTTATTGTTTACCAATGTGTCTGCACTGACCTTCAACCCTGACCTTATTAGTTTAAACAGAATTTATTTTAGTTTGGCTGTGCAGAATTATATATGCTTATAGACATGTTCTAAAAGTCCTTAACCTAAGTTTTTATGTCTTCCCAATTAAAACTTTAAAAAAAAAGTTTTTCCCTTTCCTGTCTGCATGTTTATTGTTAATCAGCGTCCCTGCACAAACCTTCAACCCTGACCTTATTAATTTTAACAGAATTTATTTTAGTTTAAATGTGTAGGATTATATTATTTGCTTATAAATACGTTATAAAATTCTTTCCTAGAACCAACTGCTTAGACTATATAGAGAGAGCATCGGATTAGTAATCCAGGGGTCACTGGTTTGATGTAATTTATCTGTGACAATTGATCTTGTACATTGAGTGTAATGGTCATTGTCTCTCACCGTTGATTCAGAAATCAGGTGGAATTAGTAGTCGGACACTTTATAAATGATAATGCTGGTAAGATACCCAGAAAAGACTGTATGGTAGATTGTCCACAGATATATGACCAATAATATCTGTTAAAATTGGTGTTAAAACCAGAACAACATACAAACTGGAACCAACCAGTACTAAGCAATCAGTATAAAGTTTCTTTCTCAAGGGAACAACAGCTTGCCGAAACAACACAGCCAGCTGAATCCCTAGACAACTATCCTGATGCGTAAATCATTTAGTTATTCAGCCATAAGTAAAACTTTAAAATTTTCATGCTTGGACACAAAATACATTTAAAGGAAAGCTTCATTTTGACTTATTGAGATTCAAATTTCAAATTCACCTTATGTCCTTGACATTCAAGGTCATACATATATTATTAAATTCCAGATATATTTATGTGAACTTTATTCAATATTTTAACAAACTAAATTTATACTTTGTCAAAAGATGTCTCAGCTATAAGCTTGATCTTTGACCCTTGAATTGCATGACCATTCAAAGACAGATGTCTAGCATTGAGTAATTTAACCAATTTGTTATTTTTTATAAGACCACGACCCTTAAATTACATGACCTTTCAAAGAGAGATGTTCAGAATTGAGAAAATTAACTAGTTATTTGTTAATTTTTATAATTTTATATTCCAAAAGTGAACTTAAAGATTATTTTGTTACTGCCTGTATATGGTATAGAAACATTTGAGTTTGACAAGCAATTATCTTGTGTTATTTTGTGACTTTGCTGTAAAACTGTATTCAAGGTAATTTGATATTTTTTCATGTTTTTATGTATGAATTAATATGAATAAAGTGAACAAAAAATTTGTGTTAATACAAATTACAAAATTCACAATTCTTTGTTTATTATATGTTTGCTTTAAATGTTCTGTCATAAAATATTTAATGCATGACCTAGTAGTAATATTAAATATAATGAGAGTTCAAATTCCCTTAAGCTCAAAATAAAAAAAATTATATGGAAATTCAAAATGGGTGCCTTGAAAATTGTATATGGAGACTCCAAAAAGTGCTTTGAAAGGCACTTAAAGAAACATTACCTCAACATATTGCTGATATATATCGCTATATACTGGTTCAAATTTTTTCACGTTGTAATAAAGTGGGCTTTTTGTGCCCCCTCCTGGGAATGGGGCATATGATCTTGATGTCATATGCTGTCTAGTTGTAGACTGATAAATCGATGTAATATGGGGACATATGTGTCCGATTGACACATTTCTAGCTATGTTTGCCTTATATGGACATAAACATAAAAAATATTTTTTAATCCTTCAAATTACATTATTTATTCTTCCTTATTTTGTATTGGCTCTATGTCAAACTTGAATCATTCTGCATTGTACAGCTAAAAATTTGTAACCCTATATTGTTATTACGTACAAACGAGGGGCCTGACCAACACGTTTTGGTTCAATTTAATTAAGCGCACCATTAAATGCATTAAAAACACTGAGCCATATATGTTGATAATATGGCAAGATACCAAAAGTGTCCGTGCTAGTCCACACTGCTTCCTGAATTTGTATTTATCTACAATTAAAATAAACAAATAAAACAAAGAACATATGATGATGATTTTGGGACAATCTTTGATTTGCATGTGTATTACTTAATATCATAATAGTCAACTTTTAAAACTGTTAAAAGAATTTACTTCCAAGCAGAACTCTTGTTGCTATGGCAGCCGAATAAAAACCCTTAAAATATCTTCTTTTTTAAAAACTGAGAGAGCTAGAGCTTAAATATTTGGCAAGAACATCATCTAAGTCAGTGTCTACCAATTTTGTTCAAATAATTGCCCTGCGCTCAAAATTGGCCCCGCCCCGGGGGTCATTGGTTTTCCTTATTTGAATATAGTAAAAACTTATAAATCTTCTTTTAAAAAACCAAAAAATCTAGAGCTTAGATGGCAAACAACAGCATGCTCAATCGTTAATTTCCTGTTACCATGGCAACGGGGGACGTCTCAAAATTGCCAAAAATCACTATTTGGCATTGTTTTTTTTCCATCAAAACTGATTTCAAAGTGCTGCAACTTCTCAATGAATTGAGATAGAGTAAAAGGCTTTTCAGCGTTGGTTACTAGTTACCTTAAGATCGACCTGAGACCATTTTTAGCCTGTCACATGTCCAAAATTTTCTTGGCGATGAGGGCTTCAAACCCCCCAAACAGAAGGGTGCACATCACCCTTCTGGCAACCCCCTGATGTAATATTTGGATGGGAGACGGCGCCGAAAAAGTGGTCAATTTTTTACCCTATCTAGTTACTAGTTACCCTAAGATCGACCTGAGGCCTTTTTTAGCCTGTCACCTGTCCAAAATTTTCTTGGCGATGAGGGGGACTGCTGCCCCTCTTTAAACCCCCCCCAAACAGAAGGGGGCACATCACCCTTCCGGCAATCCCCTTATGTAACATTTGGATGGCGGACGGCGCCGAAAAAGTGGTCACTTTTTTAACAACATTTCTTAAACGAAAAACAGTGTTTGGGGCCTAAATACGGCATTTTTGCACTGTTTTAGGCCTCAAAAAAGGGGGGGGGGGGCAAAAAGCTGTCGAAACACGCTTATGTAAGGGAAAAGGATAAAGGTTTTTTATCAAGTTTGCTCAAACTAATTTTATTTTCCCTATTTAAAGGGCCGGTTGCTTGAGCTGAAAATAGAAAAAAACTCAAATTGCGTGAGTTTACCAGATGAACAGTAACAATGAACTTCGGACATTTGTGAAAGGTTCCTATCATTTTTACTTTGAAGAAATAAACAATCAGTGTTGGAAAGCATTATAACTAGAGAGGCAAGTTGAAGTTGAGCTGGACTTGTCTTTTTACAAGTTTATTTGAGAAATTTATTTCTGTAATCACTGAAAAATAGTTGTTTTTGGTGAGCGATTCAGGACTATCATGGCTTTCTTGTATGAACTTGACTTTATGCATTCTAGGGTTAAGGCAATGACTAAAGAGCATTTAAGAATAGCATTTTATTTTATTCATGCACATAAGTATAAAAAAAACCATTACATAAAAATGAATATTACACAAGTATAACCACAGTGTAACATGACATAATTGTTTTATTCAAACATCAAAATAGGCTAAATATTTGCATTGAATGACTTTTTACTGTATACCATTCTTATTTTGGGTATGTAATAAATAAAAATTAATCAATTGTATTAACCTCGTTAAAAGAAACAGTATTATGCTCGCCAAATACTCGCAGGATATTACTTTTTTCATATTGTTCAAACAATTTAGTAGTTTATTGTAATATAACAAAAAACAATTCAACCAGATGCATTGAAAAATGGGAACTCTGAAAAATATTATTACCCTAACTTGTTTTTTTTCTTCTTTTTTGAATCATTTGTTTTACTGATTAGATGTCATACACTTTAATGTTGCTATCAAAAGACCTACTAATACACATCTTTGTCATTTGTTTATTACAACAGACCGACATAATTGTTCCTTTTCCACCATCAGCTTTTACAACCTCTCCTATTAGCTCACCATCACATGTAAATTGTAAAACGCTACAGGAGTAAGATACCAGCACAGTACCTGCTTCAGTGAGATAACAACATCTAGCGTTCTTTAATTGTTCATCATAAAATGATGTAATAACCTGACCATTGTTGTCAAGTACTTTCAGTCCATTATAATAGTCAGCAACATAAATCCTAGAAGCATCCTTACTGACAGCTAGACTTTCTATGTTAGAGAGCAACTTATGTCCTGATTGATGATTACTGAACTGATTAAGTTTCCTACCAGACAATGTATACATATATACTGATGGGGACGTGTCTGAAATATATAAATTATTGTTTGCATATGCAAGACCATAACATGCAAAATCAGTGTTAATCTTGTTTGTTGTTTTCATTTCTCTTTCTAGAGAAATGAAATGAACTTCCTTTTTTGATTGAAGAGTTACTGCTACCTTTGTGTTATTAATCTTACACATTTGCCATGGCTCTCCATGTAGATCACAGTAGTCCGTGACAGTATAGTTATAACTGTTTAATCGTTTCAGCTTCCTGTTGTTGTTATCTGCTAGAATAATTATACCATCTTCCATACAGCAGGCACATTTGATGAAACAATCTTTTTTATCTGACTTAACTGTAACATTATATGATTGATTTTCTTTAAACTGAAATAAATTGACAGCAGTCTTTGTATGTTTCTTTGATAGTGTTCCTAGGGTCTTCTTTTGTTCTAACTGTGTAAGAATTGATCTGTCAGGTTGAAACTCAATGTCTTCTACTGTACTTTTTATTTTGGCATGCTCCATATATTTGTTGGCAACATTTGCAGCATCTTCTCCCATCTTCACATAAACAAACACTTCAGAATGATTTGTGCTTGTAGATGCTAACTTATCATTAGCTGATTTAATCCTGGACTTATTTGCCTGTAGCTGTTTAAAGCTGTCTTCGATTTTGTCTTCAAGATATTTGACTCTACTTTCTATATCATCAATAGAACTTTTCTCCAGCTTGTCAAGTTGACCATTGATTTCTTGTCGGAATTTTCTGATATCAGCCAGAAACTCTGCTTTCCTCTTTAACAGTCTTTGTTTATCTCGTTTAAATCTATCAGCTTGTTTTTCAAGGGTCTTGGCTATTTCCTTGAGTTTTGTTTGAATGTATCTCGATTCAACTTGGTAAGTATTGTTTTGGATAAATTCTGGTATGTAGAATGTATCCTTACATAATCTGAAAAATAAATTAACAAAGTTTATGTATGTGAGACTATGAGATAAATGTTGAGATTATATGTTATTTTCTGTATCATATAATCGGTATTTGAGATATCATATTTATGTTAAGACTTTTAAGTATCTATTGAACATTCCATATATTAACTGAGAAAATATATTAATGTGTTTATATAGTAAATTTTACCTATGATCAACTGTCATACATGTAGAACAGCCAACAGTATCATGGTTCTGACAGTACATATCAATGTGTTTATGACTGTGTCTGTCACATCTCTCTGATGGTGCCCTTGGCAGACCTTTACTGGTTCCTGACTTAACTTGAGATTTATCCAACACCTTGTGACCAGCTAATACAGGCACTTTACTGTGAACTTTGACACAACTAACACAGAAATAATCGTGACAATCAACACAGTATTTTTCACCTTCAGTGTTCCTGCCTTCATTTCTACACATTGAACATAATACATCAAATATTTCATCCGAGAGAATATCCGTATCAATTTGTCGACCTGTAGCCATTTTGTCTTTTTCCCAACTAGGTTATTTAGTTGATCTGTTTACATTGTAAAATCGATAAAATGGTCTCTATTTCTGTCACAGTTATTTTAAATTTTAAACATTGGTGTCTTCTATAATCATGATAACTGTAAGCCTTAAGTATCTTCTACATTGTACTCCTGGGAAAATATCAATTTCTACATAATATTTTTTCAATTCATTTATATAAATCCTCTCCTTCCGCTAAATAATGGTCAAATAATTTAACCTACTTAGGGTTTAATTTATCAAAGGTGCCGTTATACCTCTTTGCACACAGTGTAACTTTATCTGGTGAAACATGATCTAAAGTTTATTCATATTCAATACTAAATTGTTAAATTTTAAGGTATATAAAGTGTTTACATAGGGCTGGTTTAACATTATGCTATATAAATCAATATAACCTTGAAAAAAATCTACTCTTAGATAATCAAATGATAAAAAAATAACGAACTTCATCTTGGCAAAGCAAGTGTTGTACATTTATAGATTAGTCCTTTGCTGTTGTATTTTGGACACATACAAAAATGAGCTGGTGTTTTCGCCTAAATTATCATCAAACTTTGTCAGGTAACTGCTCGGATGAGTTTGAACATGGGTCATCTCTGATGAAAAACTTAAAGTTCACCGGAGTTAAAATAGAAAAATCTTGTAAACACATTTGCTCGGATGAGCTTGATTGGTCAGGTGAGCAATCTAGGATCATCTTGGCCATCTTGTTTTTCCAAAATTTCATTTTGTTATTAATTTTCCTAGAATTGTAGAAATTTGTTTGAGTTTTGGTAATTTTTGTTAGATTTTTTGGTAATTTGTTAGATTTATGGTGATTTGTGGTAATTTGTTGGTAATTAAAAAAAGGTTGGATTTACAATCGCAACTACTCGGCCCTTTCCGTCAGTCTTCGGATAAGGACCTCGAATAGTATGAAAACACAGAACGGATGCGGTATTTCGGTCTAACCTACGCTAAGAAACTAAACATGTAAACAAATAGTTATTTAATGCTGGGAGTTGTTTACAAGTTTATTTCCAATATATGTAGTAAAGGTTCACCTAAAATAAGTGATATCATAGGTACAAAAGCAAAAAAATAATTATTTATATATTTATTATCATGGTTGTAGAAACCGAAAGTACAAAAAACCAACCTGTTGACATTTCGTCAGATTTGTTTAAAATTGAACATCAGTGGGCATATTTAAAGTACAAATTGTTGTCAGACATTTTTTCAAGCAAAAGAGTACCGAAACAGGCGTTAGATGTCAAATATATACATTCGTTTTACATTATCTCTGTTTTTGTTTACATCAGTAAACCACGTGGTAGAACTACTTTCAATCCGTATTGTTTCCGAGGTCAATATTGTAGATAATGGCCGAGGCAGTTCCGAATGGTTGGATTTAAGGTAATTTGTTGGATTTGTGTTGGGTTTTTTATGTATGATTTATTGGGATTTCTATGATTGATTGGTATTTGTTTATTTTATATGGGATATTACCATACACCGTGCCTTTGACGTGACATCATTTGCAAAATATACAAGCGCGCTGAAATTAGCATACTGGTTACAGGACCAATGGCTCTTTTTACAAATATAACTGTAAACCATACCATTCTTATTTTAGATATTTGATGAAATGAAAATTGTATTTATGTAGATTCAATACTTAATTTATTGAACTTGTTTAATATAACAATATTATTGTTCAAATTACGGATGGCCTTTTGTTGCATTTTGCGTCATTTTATTATCAGTAAAGAATAGTAGTTCAAAAGCTAGGCAACATATACTTCAGTTATATAAACAATTTCACAGTGTGAGATTCTCAGTTTATTTATTTCAGGTTGTTGTCACATGTGAAAGACCCGGATATTGATTCTCCGACCCGCGGCAGTATGTACTCTACCTGTGCTGCAGGAACAGATGATGAAGTTTTACAATGAATCTTTGAAAACATGCGGGTGGAATGGATCACACTCATATTACACTATGTACTTTCTTCAATGAAAGCCACTTTTAGTGATCATAGGGGAATTATGTATATATTCATATCCCTATATCTATGGGGGAAAAGGGAATAAATTGATATATATGTTCCAAATTCGATAAAACTGAACCGGTTAACCCAACAGGTAGAGTATTGGACTGTGAGTCTGGCAGGCTTGATTCCCGGTCATGAAATCTTTTTTTTCATAAAGTCCTTTCTTCGGTCATTCAATTTTACTTTTGCTGTGGCATGTACAGAAGTTTCAGTTCCTTGCGACCGTGAAGGCATTTAGTACTGGTAAACTGCTTCGCAGCATGCCCGGAAACAATGTGGTGACTGAACTGTGTTCTGGTAAATTCAATGTGGCTTTCGGTTGTGATCCAGGGTAAAAACTACCAGCTACAAAAAATCCATATTTTTACATACATGACTGTACTCTGAAGTTATCAACTTTAAATGACCTGGACAATAGTTGGCTCTTTTTAAAAAAAATTGGATTTGTTCTGCTTTGACTTTGAAATTATTCATTCCATAAGTATAACTTTAAACTGTTCATACTTGGAAACAAAATTACCTTAAATTGAGAGCTTCCTTTTGACTTATTGATATTCAAATTAGACAGCTTCATTTTGACTTATTAAAATTCAAATTTGACACCTTTATGTCCTTGACATTCAAGGGCACACATGTATTATTACATTTCAGATATATTTATGTGAACTTTATTCAATAGTTTAACAAATTAAATTTCTACTTTGTCACAAGATGTCTCAACTATTAGCTTGACCTTTTGACCCTTGAATTACCTGACCATTCAAAGACAGATGTCTAGCATTTTGAGAAATTTGACCAATTTGTTATTTTTCATAAGACCCCCCTGGACCGTTAAATTGCAAGACCTGTCACAGACAGATGTTTAGAATTGAGAAATTTAACTAGTTATTTGTTAATTTTTATCAAATTTTATTTTCCAAAAGTGAACTAAGAAATTAATTTTCTTACTACCTGTATAGGGTATAGAAGCATTTGAGTTTTACAAGCATGCCTTGTGGTTATTTTATGACTTCTGCTGTGAAAATATGTATTATCTTGGGAATTTTATATAATTGTTTTTCATGTTTTTATGTATGAATTAATTAAGTGAACAAATATTTCATCTTTTTTATGCTAATGTATGTTCCAAGTGACAAAATTTAAGGATTTTTGTCTATTTTGGAGTTTGATTTAACTGTTCCTTGGTAAAATATTCAATGCACAATCCAGTGGTAATATAAAATATAATAAGAATTCCAAATTCCCTTAACCCTCAAAACACAAAAAATTAAGTTTACCAAAATACCTACTGCAAATATCATTATTATTCGTGGGGAAACTTATATTCGTGGCTTTACGTGGATAGGTCAATCCATTTAAGATCCACCAAAATTCCATTTTTGTCTGCTCGTAAGATTATTTTCTATATCCCATTATTACATTTTACCTTTTTAGCTTTAAAGAACCAACATAAATCATTGTTCATGCAAAGCAATGGGGAGGAGAAGGATTGGTCATAAAGCCATGAACAGAATTAGAAAGTAGAGTTACTAGGAGTAAAATGCCAAATTGTCTGTGAATAAGCTAGTGGAATGTCCCAACAAAGCTGCGTGTCTCTAACAAAGACCAAATGGTGTGCAAGAGCGGATTTGAAGTTACTGGGGACAGCGTGCTTAGCCGCTAACGATTCCACCCGTTGTCTTCGATGAGCCCAGAAAGATTCAATTTCTCTCACGGTATTCTCGTAGACAAAAAATGGAATAATTCAAGGCTATATAGAAATAGGAGATGCGGGCCCCTTAATTTATGACCAAGAAGCCCCTCGTGGCACTCTAGGTGGGCCAGGAAGGGAGGACATATCAGTTTTCGAGTACCTTGTACTAATCGAATGGCATGGTGCTGATTAATAACAGCTCAGCATGACTCAAAAGGGCGCAAAGCATCCGTTCGTGTGGAAGCGAGGTACTGAGTTTGGTGGACGCTTGATTAACAGCATTGTCGGGTACAAGGAACATAATATCTATGTCAGACAGCCAGTATACGGGACAGCACCGACACTTTTGAGGTATGCGGTACACTTTTCTACAGAATAATGACGCAGTGTTATATAATACTTGTGAGATTTAATGAGTTCGGTATATAAATTATTCAAGTCTCACGTCCAAACATTTGTCCCTGCCGTGGCATCCTCGCCGTCACATTATTACAAATATCGGGTTACTCAAACTTTAGTCTGTAAATATGATTTTTAGCTTATTAGATATTATTTACGTTTGACATAGAGCCAATTACAATCCATGATAAAGACATAATAATTAAGATTAATATGTACATATTTGGCATTTTCTCTTACTTAGATCAAGAGCAAATGCTTAGAGAGGTCCATACACACAATCCACATACCTATTTTACTTCAGACCTCTTATAAGAACATGCATACCTGCCACTCCAATGATATTTGCTAATCATGGTACCCCAATTTTCTTAATGAAGCTTGGAAACTAAATTTGTACAAAGACGGTGTGGTAATCTGAATAAATACTGGCAGGCATCACGGTGAGTACATTGTTCTTCATGCTCGTACAGCCAGGCTCCTTTTAGGTACACTAACAGTTATTTAAACCTTGACCTATCTACTTGCCATTGAATTTCCCCTATTTATCAAAGATTTTTTTTGCTCTTGTTGGGTAGTCTTTATCTTCAAATAACAAAACACAATGATTACAAGATAATCTTGACACAACAAAGGGAATTTTAATGTGCAGTTTTTAAGATACTCATCCTGCAAAAAAGCCCCGCACCGACCATTATTTCGTAATTTATGCATTGAAAAATACAACTGTATTTATGGGTCAGATAATAACATACTGGTTTAACAGAAAATTCAATAAACAAAATTCCATTATGTGTATAGGCTAAGCCGGTATACACTACAAAAAATGTTCGTGATCTCTTCAATGAAAAGTCGCCGCTAAGGCATAGAAATCCACACATGACACAGTCATCGTTCTGAATTGTCACCTTATAATCATCACTAACAACATGAAACATCTCTTATCACAAATAGCAATAATACAAATTTTACAATAGTCTAGTAAACACAGCATGCTTGTAAACGCAAACTGCTAGACCATTAACTAAGTTAATCTGTCAGTAACCGTACAAAAATAATTTCATCCTTCCTTGAAAAAGAATTTAAAACTTAGACAAAATAGCATCTTGATATACTGCTCTCCTGACC